TAATAGAAAATTTATCCAACTTATGATAGAAGAAGGACTGAAAAGAACAAGAAGCAAGCATTATCAGGAAGCAGACAAAGAACAAGAGCACACCATCACAGTTTGCTTAAGTAACACATTTAACTCGTCCAAACGTATCCCCTTGGAGAAATCCTGCAAAGATGAAACGGGATGTGTTATGATGAACTACAATTTCAAAATTGACCAGCTGAAAAGGTTAGTATAGCATGTGACTCTATAATATCTCAGTGGTGTGTGACATCTCCAAGGTCAATGACACAGCAATCTCATTAAGACCCTTAAGTAATTTACTGAAATGGCCATAAACAGGCTATTCAGAATATTCACAACCACCGATTTACCTGCACAACACTGTTCTCATCAAGGAATTGTTATCACAAGTAATTAGAAGGAAGTGCAAAAGATGCATAGACCATTTTTTTTTTCAATACTGCTACTCAGAAACAGCTCAATGATTACCTGGAACACTTTACTTTGACAACCTCGGATGAACTTGACAGAACAGTAAGTTTTTGCAAATTCATATTTGCTATTTCCCAGCAAACCAGGCCTAGATGAAAGAAGGAAAATCAAGAAATCAAAGGCTATGGACAAAACCATTAAGAGAACCAAATCAACGGGGTAGGATGCAAAAGTGCAAATAGAACTTACCACAACATGTTTATCTGATGAAAATGTCATATGGTCTATGATCACCTAGGAGAACATGCAAACTAAGATATTAGAATGCTTCAGCACAAATGAAAACAAATAAAGTAACACTGATACAATAAAGTTCCAAGAAAATCAGAGCTATAAGAAAATCAATACAATATGAGTACTCCATCCCAAAATTAAGGACACTTTTTGGAAGTCCAACTTTTATTGAAAACTTATTTTATAAATTTAAATTACAATGAATCTTTGAGTTTGAAAGCTATCCTCCTAACAAATTCATTTTTGCCAACTTCCCTGAAAATTTAGCTTTCAAAATTATCCTCGCAGAGGAAAGCTATGGAAATGAGGCTCACTATTTGTGACATCGCAAAATAAAAGAAGGCCCCTAACCATGAGATAGAGGGAATATTTAACAAACAAATTTCATTCCTGTCAATCTGTCAGGGAACACAATCAACATACAAAGATAAAGATAATTATTGCTTCAGAGGTATTTACAACCTTGACAAAGAAGGAGTCCCTGACAACAGAACTATATGCTCGACCTTAGCTGCTACATCAAGGACAGCTTTTATCTGGTGAATGACAAGGGAGAAGTGAGAAGAGACACACAATAAAAGGCTTAAGGTGTCCTGCAAACGGAAGCATTAAAAATACAAAACATTCCTGAAAATACGAATGTTTCAAATTAATGGAGGAAAATAAAGTAGAGGGCTATCGCATTTTTCTTCTCTTTGCTTCTATTCTAAAATACTGCAGGAAGGCAGATGCACAATATGTGCATGTTCCACACCCCCAACATATTTTTCCCTAAAAATTCGTTATTTCCACCACTTTGCCAGTTTTCTTTGTTTTGTTCCTTTTTTTCAAGAACATTGTTCGACCAAGTGGCTACATGATTTTTTTTCAGATCACCTATTAGCAAAGTGAAAACATATTAGAAAAGGAGTATTTCATCCAGCCCCTTCCTTAAAATTCCAAGTAGCAAACGAAAAAGGGATGCCACACCGTACACGTAATGCCTGACAATACCCCTTACAGCTGAGATACTACTACACTGGCTCAAACAAGTCTTAATTTTAGGCCCAAAATTTGCCATAAAAGCCTTATCAACCCTAACCAATTCCCTATCCATTGGCCTTTCCTGTATTTGAACCAACATAAATTCAGTAATGATTGCTTTTATTGCAACACCCAAAACAGAATTCACTACCTCTTCAGGTTCTGATCTTTTCTTTGTACAGCGTACATGGTGCGATTCATCCACTATCAAGGTGCCCCATTCCTGTTCCAACATGCTCTTTCGCAAACGATGAAGCATTGTATATGAAATAACCACAACCCTTGGACGTCTTTTCAAATGCACAGGGTTATTTTGATGGCCAAAGACTAAACAAAAGAGAGAGAGAGAGAGAGAGAGAGGTTAAGCTCATGTAAGAAAAAGATTGAATCCAAATAATGCACAACACTGAGTAAGCATGAAAGCAATACTTCAATTTAAAATAGTATACATATACCTATAGAGCTGGAATTTTCGTTGGCAGTATCTTTGAGCAAGTACTAACCTGCTTTATAGCAGCAAAACATTTTCCATTTGGAAACAGGTTTATGACCATGTAAAAAAAATAACAAAGGGGCAATTCATTGCTTTAATTTGCCAGAACATAAAGATTCGAAAAAACTAACAAAGAAACTATGCTGCATTCATACTTGCAGGGCCATTGTGTCAAATATTATTTGATGAATACAGTATCTTATATAAGGTACAAACCATTTAGTTAGTTACCACACACATTGAACAAGGAAAAAAGATTCACCCTGTCCATGTGTTACCTGTTCAAGAAAGAATGATCAAATCATGGTTACTTATAACTTGTCTCATTTCCTAATGAGGTTTGCTTGCAACATCTTAAATTGACAACCCAACATTTCTTATTTTTAAAAAAAAATACTGCAAGTATTAGTTAAAGGGGTGAGGATAACTTGAGAGACTGCATGAACAGCATTAGAAAGATGTCTGGTTTCTGAAATAAATTACAATTGACAATTAGTCATGAAGCATAAAAAATTGAACTTCTTTTATTTTCTCAGCAGTCAAATTATGCACTGCAAATGTCTTCTTTTCTCAATGCTCTACAATGCCAACTTCCTCTCTCACCCCCTCTGAGGGGGGTTGAATTGAAGAAAGAACAAATATAGACAATTCTTACTTCTCACTCACCATCTACATTTAGAAGTTTAATAGCTGTTGAGAGTATTATTATTATATTGTTATAATTTAAAATGGTTGCAATAAGTATACCTCTCTATGGGTATACTAGTTTTTGTGTTTTATTAGATAACTATAAATACAAGTTGAGAGTGAGAGGTAGGGACGTAGGGTATGTGTTTTTGACTACTCTTTGCCTCTCACATAATTGATTTCTTTTCATTCTCTAAACTTAAACAATAGCTAATCAAGAAGATTGCTTCCTAATAATTCATTAAAAAAAAAGGCGGTGCATTAAGCCCCCCCCCCTACTGAGGGGTATGGGGAGGCTTTATAATAATTCATAAATTTCGAGGAAAAAAAGTTATTGGGGCTGTACCACATAGTAATGAATTCTTAGTACTTTCAACATAGTATAACAACACTACGACATAAGAAAATAACATAAAATTAGGCAAACCAATGCTCCAATTCTTGTGCACATGAAAACCGCAAAATAGCTGGGTAGACAAGTATAGAAAAGAACATAAAATTAGTACCGAGATGAATATCAGCGGGCAAACAAAAAGGAAACCAACGCTCCAATTCTTCTGCCCATGAAAACCGCAAAATAGCTGGGCAGACGACAAGTATAGAACCTTCACTCTTGAAACAGCCTGCAATTGCGATAGCCTGAAAACAAACCCCAAGTGCGCTAACAGCAGGTATTAGAACATAATAAACATGGTGCATGCAGACGAATTTACTTGTGATGAGAAGTAGCTTGTAATAAAATTTCAGTTCCCATTGTATAAAACATAAAGGATTTTATTCAACCCCCAGCGTACTGTAATCTTGATTCTAACGATTTTGCAATTATATACAAGGCAATATTACAAAGCAACATCATTTAAATACACATCAACATTGTGCATGCACTCAAAAGTAAAAGGAGGTGGCACCTCCAACACTACCCAGATTTCAATTGCTAGATACAATTTCTTTTGATATTTTAATAGTTACCTGGAGTGTCTTTCCAAGTCCCATTTCGTCTGCAATGAGACACCGGCCACCTCTTCGTAAGCCAAACCGAACACCTTCGAGTTGAAAAGGTAGCAGCGCATCTAGTAGACTTTGCGGAAGCTTCCCAATCAATTCATCAACCTTCTCATCAGACAAATGTTCTGGCCTGCATGGTATCCATCGTCCTGCTGTGAAGGAATGTGAAAGTCTCTCAACAACATTTAATGTTCCCCAAGGGATCTCTTCATATTCAATGCCCTTGTAATTTTTCAAACACCTGAGAACCGTGTCGTAATCCCTCAGTTTATAAACACAAGCCTTCCCACCACCATGGTTTTGAGTATAATGAGATGGCACAACCTATTTAAAATTTGAGAATTATAATCAAGTAAAATGACCACAAGCCCATAAAAGTTGGTTTTCACACATCTATTCACTACCAAATTAGAGGAAAGCACAATCTAACCCTTATCAAGTGAACTAGTTTCAATCCAGCAACAAACCAATACATCCAAAATCCATGGATATGGAGCCTCTCAATCTCTATTATTGTCAATTTCGATCAAGTTTAATCACTAAATTCACTGGTTGCAACTACTTGTTCTGTGGGTTCCACTGAAACCTAGTGGAGCCAGTAAATTCAAAAATGAATGACTGAACTCAATCAAAATTGAAAAAAATGAAATTGGGAAAATCCAAACCCAGAACCCATAATTTGGAAGAGCAATGCTAGGGATCCCAAATCAGTAGGACCCTTCCATCAATGGGTCACACTAACTTTTTTCAATGGAACCCACTCATCCGAGGGTTCCTATTCATTTGTGATCCCAAATTTGGGATACATGGTATTTCCCTAATTGGAATGTGAACGCAACATAGTCTCGATCACCACGCTTATTTCAATAATGATTATGCGAACCATTAAAAGCCCAGAGCACACAAAATACTACACGCGGTAGCATAAATCCATCGTAAAAAGATAGGTCGTTATAATAAGTTTAATTTCTTACATTTGACAGGCAACCACTAAGTTTCTCCAAACAAGACGCTTCACCGGGACAGGGGAAACCCAGAACAGCCTCCGGCGTAACGGAGAACGAATCGGGGGAACAAATTTCGAGGCGGACCCGGAACTTTTCGGGCAAAATAGTCGGCTGAAGTGTCGGAGGAGGATTAATCGAACAAGTGTTTACGGGTTTTGAGGAAATGGGAGTTGTATGTCCGGGAGAGACTTTTCGGCACTTGAAGAGCTTCCAGGGGTTTGGGTGTTGGTTGGTGAGGATCGAAGTGGACTCTGAGAGGGCTTTGCGCTTGGCTAGGGCTGCGAGACGGTTGGCTTCGGCTCTTTTTCGTTGTTCTTCTGCGATCTCTTCTTCCATGTGGAGTGGGTTCGGGTGTGCCCGTCAGAGTGGTTAGGGAGAGAGAGAGCATTTGCTGATTTAAACTGAAGGTGGAGTGGGCGGGCAAAGATGCACGAGGGAAATACAGTTTGATAGCCGACTTCTATTAATTTTATTTTTATGATTCATATTTAAATTCGTTGATAATCTAAAATTCAGTTCCATCTAAATAACTTAATTTAACTCAAATTTAGCAAATAACATTTAGATTTTCAATTAAATTTAGAAAATTTTAGAAGTCAGTCCCCTTATATGCACTTGTTTTGACTTAATTCTATTAAAGAAACTTATTTGTTATGAAGTCCGTTTTTTATTAATTTTATCATATTATCCCTTCCATTTAGAAGTGAAGTAAAATTAAAAATTAAAAACTCTTAAATTTTAGGAGTTTAATTAACATTAAAAAAATTTATCTCTCATATCTATCTATATTTATATATAGGTTAAGAATATATCTCTCATATATATATATACGTACTAGTGATTGTTCGTGTCTTAAGGCACTAGTATAACACAACAAATCAAGGGATAGTTTTGTAATATAAATATTCTACAACAATAACTTTTTTTTATTTTCTAAAATCACACAATTTTAAATAAATTAAGTTCCTTTACTTTCTTTTTTCTAATGTTTCATCTTAATCCAATCAAACCAAATTCAACTCAACAGTGATCCAATCAATTAGAAAAATTCTTATTCTTCATGGCTAACCATGTCTCATAATACAATTTTTCAATAAAAGTACCAACCTTTATATTTATTTTGAGTTTCACTAATTGTAACATTAATCATAAAGAGTTCAATTCAAAAAATATAAACATAGATCATGACTCAAAACACAAATGAAAAAACTAAAATAGGATAATATCGAATCAAGGAAACCCTAACTTAACCCAATCAAATTGATATAAAATATTTCACCCGCAAATAATGAAACAACTCACAGATCGAATAATGTGGATCATCATACCACCAGAAAATCCACACATAATGAAACAAACAAATCAGAATCTAAATCTAATTGAAAATGAAGAAAAACCTTAGAACATCTCACAATTATCAAATACATCAAATAATCAATCAAAAATCATATTAGGCACCTATGAATTCGTTTTCGTATTATTTCCTATCACTTTTCTACTTATAACCTCATTGTGGTAGTGAAATCAAATAAAAACTCATATATTTGCAAAGGAGAAAGGCCACATTATGGACCATTACACCATACAATGAAATACAACTTCAATTAAGGAAATTTAGATTTGCATAACTAAATTTAGAAAGATCCTTTTTCACAACTTATTGTGAACAACAATGCAATTGAAATGCATCGATAATGTAGTAAAAGAGAGCATATACAATTGATTTCTATTTCGTCAAATAACATTAAAATCCTATTAGTTTATACCACCGACTAACTCCCCAATTTTTTTACCGGTTTTTGAATATCATCCAATTAACTCACCTCAAAATTCATAAAAAATAAAACTAAACTTTGTTATTCTAGAACAAAACAATGTACGCACTGAAATTCATCAATTTGATACACAACACTATCAAATCACAAGCTAAATTCAACAATTCAATTCCAAAAACAATACCGAATTAGAGCATTCAGGTTCCAAATCTCAATGTTACCATCAACCAATCCACCAGCAATAAGACCCAGAGAGAACTCCTCTAAATTTGTCAGATATTTCCCCCAAGAC